TAGGGTTAGGGTTAGGGTTAGGGTTAGGGTTAGGGTTAGGGTTAGGGTTAGGGTTAGGGGGTAGTTTCTATGTTTCAGCCCAGTGTGTACGTAAAATATAGTCTTCACGCTCAAACCTTTTTCGTGTCATATGAAATCTTTGTGACACCAACGACTTCCAGGATTATATGAAAATATCTGACCTGTCATCCATCCAACCCAGCAGAAAGTTGCGGACTCTTTTGGTGAAGGACTAGAGGTGTATCCTTATTAGTCACGGACGTGAGCCCCACTAAATCCTCTCAAATGGTCACACCAACCAAACGCCTGTCTACAATAGCTCCAAGAAATTTTTTTAATGGAGAAATACTAACATTTCTAAACGGTGTAAGAGATAATGGCAGTTGACTTCCATTCATTTAACTTGGACCAGAAAGTGATTTTTTTGTGTGGTCTATGTAGCTTTTATTATACAGAAACTCAAGCGTGAGAAATGATGAAAGTTAAATGCACACGAAGAAAAGAACCCCAGCTAAGTGCAATCAAACGATACATGTTACTGTAGTCTTTTAACCATATCCCAGGCAATGAGACGCAAACTAAGTGACCAAATGTTATATCTTATTATAATTCAGTCGAGAATCGAATCCCTAAACTCGCGGATCCAGATTAGAACCCCGAGACCTGCCATACCAGGGCCCTGCTCTTGGAGGATATCAAACAAAACCGGAGGTTTCTTAGACAATACTGACAAAAAAAAGTCTTGCCCTGTAGTTTGGTTTGGTTTGGGGTTTTATATGATATTTTTGTAAACAAATAGAGGTCATCTTATCAACAATTCTAGTCATACAATTAAAGACCTGACACATTGGGATATTTCACGCAGTGCAGCTAACATTCCACAAGCGCAGATATAGCGCCCCGCCCCACCCCTCCTCTTAAATAACCTAATAATGTTGATAGGGGCGTTGAACCTTAACCATTTCATATGTTAACAGTAATGGCCTTCAGACATCGGCTAATACTGGTCACATAAAGTCAAATATTAGGCGAGAGAGCTGCTAGAATGTTAAAAATATAACGTCACCATAATTAAAAGACAGGCCCTCTCTCTCTCTCTCTCTCTCTCTCTCTCTCTCTCTCTCTCTCTCTCTCTCTCTCTCTCTCTCTCTCTCTCTCTCTCTCATTC